TTCCTTGAAGAGCTGATCGATAGTGCGAGACTGCTGCTGGTCGCGGTACGTGTTTTGCTGGCGCGCGTATTCCTCCCTGTCGCGGATCGACATGCGGTCCCAGCGACCGCTCTTTCGGTCCTTCTCTCTCTGGTCGCGTGTCCTTTCATCTTGCTCACTTTCGAGCCGCCGCCTGGCGGCTAGGAACTCGGACTTGCGACGGAATTCCTCGTTGAGCTCAGCGCCGTGTGCATCCTGAACCAGGCCACGCTCTCTCAGCAGTGTGAGTGCAGAACCCATGCCGGCACCAATCGTCCTCTCCTCATCGATGCCTGCGTAGTCAATGGGATCTTCTATCTTAGCGTCCGAAGCATCGACGTGTGAGGCGTCGCCCATGTGAAGATCCCCGTCGTCGTCGGACTCGTCGTGCATTGCGGTGATAGATTGCTCAGTAACTTGTTTCGACCTGCGCGCCTTCCGGTCCTCGTCCTCGTCTGGTTTCTTCAAGCCAGAAACGAACTCGGAGATTTCATCAATAATAACACCTCCTTGGTCTTCCTCTTCTGGCTGCCCAGTCTGCTCTTTGAGTTCCCTGGCGATATCCTCGGGTCGCGTCCTCTTCCTTTTCTTCAGAGCCGTTCTCCTCTGAATGGCGAGGGAGGCTTGGAGATCTTCGTCGTCCACGAAAGAGTCGTCCACGACCTTTCGCTTCCTTGGCAGCACTGGTGCTTCCGAGTCAATGTCCATTTGCTCGTCTTCGACAGGCGCGGGCACTTCTGGGATGATGTCGTCTTCATCGACGGGCTTCTGGCGCGTCGACTTGGACTTCTTCTTCTTGGGTTTCCGGACCTTGATCTCTGAAATGTCAAGATAGTCGGACTTGGGAGCGTCTTCCATAGCGTCAAGATCAATGTTCTGTACGTCCTTCTTCTTCTTTGAGGGGCCATCGAGGATGTCGGCGAGCTCAGCAATGGCACCTGATGAGTCGAGGGTGAACTTTTTTGACTTTTTGCCATAGATTTCCTCGTCGTATTGTGACAGCAGCCCTCGCTCCTCCGAGTCATCCAAATTGTGCACATCATACGCCGGCCTCTTCTTCTTGAGGTCGAGGTTCTCCTTGAGTTTTTCCTGCGCACGGAGGTCGAGGTTCTCGAGTTCGTCGCCTTCCTCTTCGTTCTGGTCAATAGTGGTATCCTTCAGTGTCAAGATCTGGTCATCGCCGTCCAGGAAGCTGTCCAGTTCGTGTGCCACTTTGACTCCGGCGAGATCTTTTGATGTGTACTCGAGCGCCGCCGCCGCTGCCGCCTCCGCCGCGGCCTGCTCCTCCTCAAACTTGCGCGTCTTGGCAATGGTCTTCTGTCGCTTCTTCTGCGCCTTGAGCCAGGCCTTGGCGTCCAGGTCACCGGCATCGTCCTCCTCGCCAAGACCTTTGCCTTCGAGGGTGGCTAGGCGTTGGGCATTGTCGCGCTCCTTCTTCGCGGCGGCGACGCGCGCCTCACGTTTGCGCTTGGCTTCCTCGGCTTCGCGGATCTGCCTATAGTTGTCATAGGACTGTGCCTGGCGTGTGTCGATGGTGCTGGCCTCCTCTTCTTCTTCTTCATCGCTTTCGGATCCTGCGCGGCGCTCCTTGGGCGACGGGGGTGCGGCGCCTGGTACAGGAAGAGGCTTCAGGCCCAGGGACTCGCGCATGCGATTCGTCTCCTCGATGGTGGCGGCATCCATCTTGGCGGGTTGCTCAGGGGGGGGCGGCGAGGTTTGGGTTTGAGTGGAGATGTCCTTTGGGTGGTGTCGGGAGAGGGTATGGTGTAAATTTGATGGATAGAGGACAGGCTCGCGGCAGGACTAGACGGTAGATGGGTGTCGATGTTAAAGCAGTTGAAGTTGCTGGAGCTCTGAACATCTGTGGCCCACCCAGGTGGCTGGCCAAAAAGTACTGATGCAGGTAGCGCATGGCAGGCAGGACGACAGGCGGCAGGCAGACAAATTGGGCGTTTAGTCAGCAACGATTGCGGGTCCGCCGTTGGAGTACATATCGCAGCCTCGAAATTTTTCTGCTTCCTTTCTTCTCTCCTTCTTCTCACCACGGATCTGTGCCCAGCGATCCTCTAGCCTGCGCGTTAGAGTTGATTTCTGCGGCATCTCGATTTCACCCCAAGGAGCCATCACTTATGATGTCAATCATCCAATCGGCAGATCCAAGAACGACCAGCCCGGGAAGCCTCGCTCGCCGTAAAACGCTGAGCTTGGGGGAACGGGAGCACTGGGGCCGTCATATTCCAAACCTTTTTACCGAGATCGTCGATCGATGAGGTTGGAGGCAAACCATTTCGGCTACAACTATTATTTGCTTTCACTCTGCTTGCTGCGCGGTGAACTGGGAAACACCAGGCAGGCGTAGGTGGAGGGACGAGACGCTGCATCTCCTTGACATGTGTACGTGAAACCTCGCCGCCCGGTATCCTGAAGGCAGTTCTCGCAACGGGAATGCGTAGTACGGCAGCATCTCTGATTCTATGATGTCGGAACGACGGCAGGCATTACTTGCCTACGTGACCAGAGTCCCCATGCCAATTTTCCAAACAAAAGAGGCCGTTGCCCAGGAAATGAGTGCCGGGCGATCGACGAACCCCATCAAAATGGATGGCCAAAAGCAGAAGCCGCAATGACGGTTCACAATGCTCTCGGCCTCGAGCTGGCACGTCGAGCACGACCCGGGTTCGGAGTATAGGGTTGCCAAATCTAATGACGGTATCTGGATCACATGGTCGCGTGAAGATGAGAAGTGCGGGGCTTCTTTGACGTCCTACCCCAGGGCCTCCCCACGCCGTGACTGAACACCTTCATCGCATACGGTATTTCGCAGCCTGCAGCTCATCCGGCACAGAGTCTCTCCGCTTACAGAGGCTATACCACATGGTTCTGTTCCTCGTGACAGGGCTTGGGACAACAATATCGAGGCATCGGCTGCGCGGGCCGATAAAAACTGTCGATGTGCTTGGTCTTGTGATCTTCGTGTAAGGAAAACTTGAATCGATTTCCAGTTTGGCCAAGATAGCACGACGGGCACCTGAACTGCGAGCAACATAAGAGCAGCAGGCTTTACATGGTTCACACAAGATTTGATCTTTCCCCGCCTCCATCGCGCCTTCCTACACCTGCCTAATCTCAGTGTCCTACCTTTTTGACAGAAGCGCAGACTATCAACATGTCTTTCTTTCACGGCCTGACTCTCGAGGCATTCCCGGCCAACCTCACCAATTCCCTCGCACAGCCCTTCATGTCGTACCTGTCGTCTGCCCTCCTCTTAGGCTCTGTCGCTGTGCAGCACATTCTAGGCAACACCGCCGCCACCCCACCAACATCTGATCTCGAGTCCTTCATACAAAGGCAGTATCCGATCGCCTATGATGGAGTGCTGTGTAATATTGGGTCTGAAGGTTGCCAGGCTCAAGGCTCAAGCCCTGGTGTTGTGATCGCATCTCCGAGTCGGGAGGATCCGCCGTGTGAGTTGCTCCGAGCGATGGACCGTGGCCATC